ACTTTGCAAAAATCAAACGGGCTAGCCGCAAACGTCCGTGCCGTATAGCGTGAATAACCCTGTATGGTTGTAAATAGACGAGCATTTTCTTAGTATGATGCAGAAAGTGCAGTAAGTGAAAGGATTATCTCTGATAATCTGTGAATGAAACTCATGAAACTGGATGAATTTTGAAACTGAGCGTGGAAAAGTAGTGATGGACTCAATGAGGAACAATAAACGGTTGTTTTTGGCCGCGCAACAAATGAACGAAAGTGGGGATTCCTGCGCTATCTAATCAGCAGGCACACCGACACCGGTCGGTCCAAGTTCGCTCGGGCCATGCACAAGCACATTCGTCCACTTCGAGCAAATTCAGTGTGAGTCGTGAGTCGTGCCGCGTTGGAATCACGCGCGTTCCTGCAACAGCGAGCAAAGCGAATTCGCATAGAGCGCTCGTTTGCGTTCCGATCAAGTCCTGCATAGTGTGCGCAATAACGCTGCGGCATCAGCAGTGCGAGTGTGTGTGCATCGTCCCTTATTCCTGCTCTGCGCTGATGGACTAAAAAGATGGCCGCCGACTCGGGTATGGATACGTGCCCTTCGCCGGAAATCGCGGACTCCAGGAAACGACCCCTGGACGGTGAGGTGGAAAACGGAGACTCCAAACGTTCACATTTCAGCTCAGGTAACTCAGCACCCTTAGCCGGCCCACTTAGGCTAGTTTAGTCCAGTCCAGTCCACTTATTGCTATCGGCGCCCTTTCTACATTGCCGCCATCGACGCCATCGACGCCGATGCGGAGTGTCGTCGGTGCACAGTGGCGCGCCAACTCTTCCATTGTGTGAGGAGGGAAGGACAAATCAATCGTCCGGCTGGCGGCAACGGGCGGCAACTCGGCGGGTCTGTTCCGCGCGTCTGAGCGGACATGTAGTTCAGCCTGCCTGCTGCTCGATCAGCTGCTCGCTTCGTGTCCTCCTACTGCTGCTGCCACTGCTGTTAATCTCCTGCTTGCGATCGTGAAAACACCACCACGTCTAACCGTGACGACACCACGACGCGGACACCCGCATATGTTTACCGGAAAGGCCGGTGTTCTGAGGTGGCAGACCGAATTTTTCGCGCTCCATCTGATCCCACTTCTAACTGGTTCCTGCTGCTAGCTTATAAATGATACAGGACGGCTCGTTTTTCCTGCGGAACTTGATGAACTCCCTGCCCACCGGTGAGTTGTCGTCGCTTTGGTGGAAGTCCCTCACGGGCTGGGTTCGATTAACATCACTTTCGCCATTCCATTTACCTTTTAAATGTGCTTCTTCATTTTTCACATGCCTCTTCCCCGTCTTCATTCGCGTTTTCCTTCCTCACGTCTGCCACATCATTATGTCACGTGCATTGCTGCAGTTATTCATGCAACGATCTCGGCTGTTTGGGTCGCAGTCATTAAATTTTTTTATCTTATCGTCGGATGGGTAGCGGAAAATGCAGCAGCAGGATGTCTCGGCTTACGTCAAGTAGCTTGCCAATTTTTATCATCATTTTTTAATGCGCTGCATGTGTGGCAAGGTCACATACGTCGTACCGTTGGATGGCGATTCAACATCACGCGCGCTTGTCGAGCAACAACTCACCTTTTCACCAATTTGAAAACGAAAACATCCATTCACTTTCTGCTTTATCAATCTGTGTTTTTCGCGATTAAACCCACACAGGGCAGATGAAAAGTGTCTCCAGGTTCCGTATCCGAAGCACAAATGCTGCAACGAATGTGCCATTTTCAAGCTGGTAAGTTTTTCGAGCTTTTAGACTGTCGCGACAAGGATTTCTTCCTGATGTTTTGCAACCACGACTTGCCTGCATCTTGTTTGGTTGTTCGACGCAGCAACCAACTAGTGCAGAAGATTGCGCCAGCCTAAAAGTGCGGAAAACTCAAGCATATTCATTCCCCAGTTTTTTCGGGCTTTTAGGCCGTCGAGGAAATAACTGTTTCCTGACGTTTCGCACGCACGAGTGACGTGCCCCATCAAAGGTGTGTTCGCGTCGGCTGCGTCTGGACGAGACATTATCGACTTGGACCTAAAAGCTCGAAAAACCTCCCCAGTTTCAAGCAATGTTCGCGAAAGCCAATGCGATTCCAAATCATCTTCTTCAAGCAAATTTATAGCCAATTACCAGTGAAAATTCCGTATTATTTACGAGAATAGCGTTGTAAAGTTGAACAGAATTAAATGAGAAATTTGCCTAATTGTTCAAACTCTCCAAAAAAATCAGCTGGTATTTCGGCAGACAATTCATTAATTCGTTCAGGCCCACGATAATTAACTTTCTCCGTAAATTAATGGCATAGGAAACAGTCAAACAGCGCGAGATCGGGGCTGTGTGCAGGCCAGTTACTTTTTCGGGCGAATTTTCGGTTACACCAAACCCAACCAAATTCGGTTGAATTCTCGAGTTTCAGATATTTGTCGGTTTTAAGGCCGAAGGAATCGATAAAGGCAAAGTAAAGACAGCTCCCATTTATAAGTAATCACAGGGGACTGTCGTACATTAAAGAAATCGATGCTCATTTTTCTCAGTTCTATTTTACGTTGGTTTCTTCACCAAATCTGTGTCACACTCTCCATAGATCTTGATTTTCTTTGAGCGTCGTTCCAAGGCTTTCTAATCAAAGGCTCTTTGCAATAAGCGACTGAATAATATTGTAGAAGCTTCATTAGAACACTCTATGGCATTCATTGAATGTGTCGTTAAAGTAGCGGTAATCGTTAGAGTGATCACAAAGTCTTAAGAATGCGGGTTGAATATATTGACTTCGGGTAATTCAGATAATTAGTGTTTGGAGAGCTTCAAAACCGAGTTTCAAGTGTCTTTCCAACGAAATAGTTAAATGTGGAACTGGACTGAAACTTGTGAGTTTTGTATGTTAATTTATCGATTGACCGATGAATGACGGAAGTGATGATGTTATTAAGCAAAAGTTGCAGCTGTGGGCAAAAATGAATGTTAATTCTAGTCACAACATTACTCATGGCCTCATTTAATGGCACTGGATGATTTGTGGATGTGTTCCAACCCAAGCATACTGAACATTTATGCTCGATCTAGACATGAATCATTAGACGATTTCCTCACTTTTTCACCAAAAAAAAATTGCAAAATGAAAGTCCCGGTTATATTCGGCAAACATTTATTACACGGTCATGACATTCTGACGCTATTTATTTATTGAATAACAGACATTTCCACTTTATTTATAATACAATCTGTTTTGAGGGCGCGGTCCCCGTTCCGTCGTCGTTTAACTGTTACAAGGTCCTTGTGCAAAGAACAAGTGCAATTGGATACTTTTGATTTCATTATTGCGCTAGATTTGTTTTTGACTAGTGGTTTGATTTGCAACCAGCCATTGTTTTCCAAGATCCTGCTGTTTGCTCTGAACAGCTCCAATTCAAAGTGAAACCAATTAGATGTGCGCTAATTAGCAACCACCCTTGTGTTCAAAAGACGCCCACGTCGAGCAAACTTTGCGCCAACGAATTCATTTTGCTCGCTTTTGTTAATTGAAATTTAAGGCCTTTAGGTTGAAAAGCAAAAAACGATTACACGGCTTTTATCGAATAAGTAAACCGTCACTAAGGCGAATCTAATGCAATTCAATTAATTGAGAAATTATTAAACGTGTCACCGATATTTATTATAGATGTGAGGCAAGCACGGAATCTATTTGATTTTATTAGCCAGGTTTCTTTCGAATGTTCCAACTAGTAAGTTTTTTATGAGAAGCCTCGTATCAGTTTAATGGTCGGAGCACTAAAGCGGAAAAAGGTGCAAACGGGCTTGAAAGGGTAGCTTCCACAATCCCAGCACAAGACGGGCTTTGGGATGTTTTCTTTCATTTGGGCTCAGTCCTGGGGGCGCGCTAGAAATTCCATTCGATAAATCTGGGCCTGTAGAAGGGGCGACAAACTATTAGGAAAGGCGCCTTAATTGAATAATTTACTGGAAAGGTCCAGCTCCCGGGGGGATTTTCAAAGGTCCATATTGTTATTGCTGTTTAAGTATTGTTTTGCAACAATTTAATGAAACCGTGAATTGTCGGATAATGTCTTTAATTAAAGGACCATTCGGTTAAGCGACATCCCGCTCGAAGGACCAAAACCTACAGAATTTTTAATCGCACTAAGAATAGCTAGGCATTCTTCGGCTGCTTCAGGCAAGGCGGCCAAAACATTTTTTCGAAGTTACTCTTGACTTGCTGACATCATTTCTAAAAGCGAATGTTACGACCACGTAATATCTTGTAGCCGAATGGCCTGTTTTGAATTTAACATGATTTCTTTGGGATGCATATAATGAACTAAGCGAAAGATTAACGAGATTGGAATACGTTCACTAATCTGAAGTGTTGTTGTGTACAAAATGGGAATTTACTGATCTGTCTGAACTCGTTCTATATGGGTTTGTTGATTTGAAGAAGTTGTGGTTTAGTTTTTGAGGGATTTTTTTGCCAATTTTACTCTAAAAAGATTATTCATCATTTCTCAGAAAGTAAAGCTTTTGGAAGCGGCTTTTGAAATTTCAAAAATAATTTTTTTTCGGAATCTGAACTGAATCAAAGCGGTTGTTGCGAATTAAACAACGGGCCAAGGAATTCCGGGCGGTTCAATTGCAAGTAGTTTCTAAAAAAGTTTTTTGCAATCCATTGGAAAGTGGTTTAGTTTGCAGCAAAACTTTCGCTCGAGGTTTCGCACCAGTTAATTTCCAAAAATCGTTTTAGTTTTTGGATTCCCTCTGGTCTTTCTTAGCCAAACACTTGTTTCCTTGTGCTTCTAAATCTCCAACAGGTAAAATATTTGGAAATTCACTGTAGTAAAACTTTTTTCCCTGCAGTATAGGGTTGAATTTTGAAAACTACCATTACAGGTAGTGTTTTGAAAAGTTAACCGGTCATTTTTGGTGTTTCTAAGTTTAAAAACTTGTTTTTTGCTCTTTTTAAAGTTCAAAATCTATTCTTTTTGCAATTCATTTGAAAGTTGTTTAGTTTGCAGCAAAAGTTTTACTCGAGTGTTCATTAGAATCAAAAGTTTTTCTATGTCAAAAAACTGCTTTCGTGGTTTTTCTAAAGACCAAAAACTAGAAGTTTTTTGGAAATTAATTGAGACTAAACAATTTTCCAAGAAGAGAGACCTTGAGAGGTTTCAAACCTTGATTTGAAGAAATTGTGTTCTTTAGATTTTGGGAAACTTTGTACGAGTTTCACCCTAAGAGCTTCTTGACTTTTCCAGGAACTGAAACTTTTGGAAGAATTTCTAGACTACAGTCAATTAAAAAAAAAAATAGTTTTTGGACTTCCTCTGGGTCATGATGAAAAAAAATCAGAATCGTCTTCTGGTTCGGCTCAAGTCGAAAAACGCTAACATTTTTGGGAATTGACTGAAGTAAAACTTTTGCTGCGAGTTAAACAAGTTGAAATACAATTTTTTTGCAATTTGTTCAAAAGTTGTTGGGTTTGCAGTAAATACTTTACTCGAAGTTTTCCTACAGTCAATTCCGAAGAAAAGTTCAGTTTTTCAACCAAAAAGTCTTTCTAATTCCAAAAAGTTGACATTCGACAAATTTTTTCGAGGTTCAATCTAGAAAAATTATTGATTTTTTGAAGAACTGGAACGTGGAAGGGTCTTTCTTAACTACAGTCAATTTTCAAAAACTTGTTTCTAAGCTTCTAAAGTCTTCTTAAAACTTGTTAGGAAATTGACTAATGTGAAACTGTCGCTGTGAACTAAACAAGGTCCAAAGGAGTTCCCTGCAGTTCAGTGCAGATCTCTCTAAGATAAAAACTTGTGTTTTGCTCTTTTCAAAGTTGAAAAACTATTTTTTTGCAATCCATTGGAAAGTTGTTTGGTTTGCAGCAAACATTTTACTCGATGTTTTACTACAATCAGTTAAAAAAAATAGATTAGTTTTTGGACCCAAAAGTCTTTCAAAAGCCAAAAATATAATTTTTTTTGGAAATTGGTTGTATCTGAACAATTTTGCAAGAAATCTCATTATTTCACTGGGTTTATTGACGAAATTGTTCAAATATTTTTTAGTGTTTGGAATTTTTTTTACGAGTTTTCCTCCTGATTGATTTCCTCTGATGATTTTTGACCTTAAACTTTTCGAAACTCCAAAAAGGAAGACTTTTTGGAAATTGACTGTAGGGAAAGTTTTGCTGCAAGCTAA